GGATGGATGGATGGATGGATGGATGGATGGATGGATGGATGGATGGATGGATGGATGGATGGACGGACAGACGGATGATGGATGGATGGATGATCACATACTGTACTTCTGAATAACTGTAGAATTCCATGCAAATATCTGCACCACATGAAATTACCAGCAGTGTAAACATTTAAAAAACAGTATTTGTAAAGATCTGAAGTTGTTTTGTTGGGTGTGTCACTGTAACCAAAAATCATTACAAATTTAACGTCTGAGGCATTTTTCTTCTTGATTTTAATCATAAAGAAGATGGTACCGAATGATGACATGGCTTTTTTTTTTTGTTTATCTGGAAACCTAAGCTGAAGATATTTTCTTGTCTCATTTTTTTCCTTTTGTGTCTCCCAGTTATATGTCTGATTTTGTCTCTCTTCAGCATCTGCCATCATCTGGCTCTGTTTCTCATCACCAGGCTCCATCTGCTCTCATTCTTGTTTATTCTCATTTCCTTCAGTGACTTGGTTTCCACAAGATTCTCCATACCTTTCTGATTTGTTTTTTTCTTGCTCTCATTCTGACTTGTGAGTTGTGATATCATCCCAGACGCAACTTTAACTTCCTGCTGCCTCCCACAAAACACACACACACACACGCACACACACACGCATACACACACGCACGGTCTAGTACAGCTATCTTTATGGGGACATTGCATTGACTTTCATTAATTTCTACAGCTTAACCATGACACCTTACCAAATACCTAACTTCACAGGTACAAACCTGACCCTAAATCTAACCAGAACTCAATTCACACCTTAGTCCTTAACCTAACCCCCGACCCACCAACAACATTTCCCCTCATGGGGACTAGGCGTCCCCATAAGTACGGGTTTGTCCCCACAAGTAGGGGTTTATGCCAAAAATGGTCCCCACATAGTAGGGAATACCCGCCTGCACACACCCACACACGTGTGCACACAGCTGGTTTGTGTCTCCCAGTGTGCTGTTCTTGATGAAGAGCTTTCCCATAGCGGTCACCAGGACACGAACACCCACATGTTTATGTTGCTTGCTTTTGCTGGGGAGCTTGTTGTGGATAAGTTATCGTTCATCTGGGCCTCGGCTGTTTTCTTTAACTCTGTTTTCATTYGACTAATTGCGCCGATTACCCCTTCTAGTGATTACAGCCGTTAAGTTATGTTTAATATTTGAGTGTTTTGGCTCTGTTGAGAAAACATTGCTGGAGACGTGATGATGGTGTCGCAGGAGGAGCAGCTGTTGCCCATTTCAGAAAGTGAAGGGGTGAAAACATATGATTCACTGCCATTACACATCCCTGATTCCAAGAGGATTTGGGCCCTGTTCAAAACCATAGAGTTAAATAAAGCTAGAGTGAGCCCCGCCTACCCGATCCACTGTGACAACATGGAGGAACAAAGATGGCGTCCAAACATGGCAACAGCTCACAGCCGACATAACTATTTGATGAACAGCAAGCCCAACTGGATCTTTGTCATAAGTGTTTCATAATCTTTGTACAACAAATCATTAAACAGCATTATAAATATATATATACAGTGGTTTGCAAAAGTATTCATACCCCTTGAACT